CGATCTAGTACCATTCATTTAGTGAAATTCAAGATCTTAGCATTTATAAACTCAAAATCATTTTTTTCTTTTTACACATTGTTTATCTAATGGAAATAAAGCCATCCAAAAAAATTGGAAATGAAAAAATCCTTCAAAGGCCTCAATCTAAGCATCTCATCAAAATGAATAGCCTATGTTAATTGGGCTAAAAAAATACTCTCTAGGTTGTGTTTTCGAATTTTTCTTTTTTGTGATTGTTCATTAGAATGAAAAGAGTGTATTTTTCAAAATTTGGATCAAATAAATGGCCATAACGTGGTTTTTGAAGGTTGTTGCATCACATTACTATACAACCGTTGCATGAAATCATTGCCTCTAAGGAATAGTGTGCTTATAATTATACTTTTCTAGTGTATTATGGCCTTTCTGCAAGGGGAGATATTGCTATAATCCAATGGACTGTGGTAGATGGTACTCAAAGGCTACATCCACTTCCTGTTCCCACTGATAATTGGCTGGAGAGTTTGACTGGAGTTAGGGAATAGGGATATTCACCTGGTGCAGTTAATCTGCATCCATCCATCGATGGGAACAGATGGTGGATATAGACTCGAATGCCATGTGCCATGGTCCTCTGGACCAGGTATCTTCTCCTTGCTCAAATGTATTATGAAAAATAATATATTAGAGACCCTTATATCCCGAAGTCCTTGACTACTAATTTTTTTCTGGTGCCCAAGGCTGTCCTGTAATTTATGGTCTTATAGACTTTTACTTTCAATCTATTGTTCTTTTATTTAATTCATTTCTTTAGTTTGTTTTTATATCTTCATAATGTTTGCTTTTCTCATCACTTTCTTCCAAGTTTCCATGCAAGCATGCACAATAATTATAATTACATACTAAGAACTTGTTTTTGGTAATTTCATAAATTCATATGATGTGAGTGGCATAAATGGTCTCCTATTAGAGATAGCTTTCTTTGCATTGTGATAAATTGGTTTCCTATTTTTGTTTAATCATGTTAGTAGAGAGCATCTGTAACTTGGCCTTTACTGCATTGCAGGTTTTGTTGGCCCTTGATCGGATAGATCAGGATGATGAGTTGACATATGAGGTTGTTGATCTCTTTACTTGCTTAGCTTGAACACTTGGCCCGAAAATGTGCTAAAAGGATCAGTTTCTTTTTTTTCCTTTCCTTTTTTTTTTTTGTTTTTCCTTTATCGCAGCAATTATTGCTTTTGGAGACAAACTTGTTCAGGGGTCCGAGCTTCCATGATCAACACCGTGATATGAGACTGGACATTGATAACATGTCATATGAGGTATGTTATTAAATACTAATCCATGTACTTGAAACAAAAGTTGATCCATAGTTACTTATAAGCATACACATACCTTCATTTCCATATTTACATATAAGCATCCATATACCTTCATCTCTATAAATACAATGTGTACATGTAAATCCGGCATAAACATGTAAATCTGGCATAAACTTTATGTTCATGACCTTCTATGCATTACTGTGTCAATGGTTGAATATACGCATGCATATCTTTGCATGCACACTTGCATGGATACATATAATTCCAACATAGATTACACATCCCATATAAATTAAACAGCCCATGTAGTTTCCTAACACATGGATGGTGTTCTTTGTCATAATCATACGTTCATGACCATATGCACATTGGTGCTTCCATGCTTTCATATATGCATGCATATCCCTGCTTGATGCATACAGGGATACATGCAATTTCTACATAATTACATGTCCCATGTAGTTTTTTGTTATACATGGTTGCATGCTTGCATGTGTCAAGTTTCCATTACATATTATGAATGGTATTCATGTCATAAAACTAATAGCTACATTCACATGACCATGTTCACATAGTATCTCCATGCTTGCATGCACATGCATGTTCCTGCACACACATACATGGGTACATGTAAATCATACATAAATTACATGTCCTATATGGTTTCATAATACAGGGTTCCATTTGTTTAGTTTCCATACATCTTATGTATGGCATTCTTGTCATACACAGGAACTATTGGAATTAGAGGAAAAGATGGGAAGTGTTAGTACAGCTCTTTCAAAGGATGCTCTTTCTAATTGCCTGAAGAGAAGTCTCTTCTCTTCGGTTTCATCGGTCCCAAGATTCACAATTTGTGGGGATGTTGATACAAAATGCAGTATTTGTCAGGTACTTTTCTCATTAACTATTATCAACAAAAGTGATGCATATTGCTCATTATATTAAAATTTTGCTTAAAATTAACAGTTCAAAAAAGTATATATATTGAAATTTTTTCTTTTAAAGATGGCTTATTAAAATAAATTCCACTTCTTGCTTTCGAAAACAAAAGATATTGAAACATATAAATCAGAATGTTTCAATTTGGCAACCGTTTTTATTACATCACCAAAACATGGATGGCAATACAAGCCAGCCGTTAAATTTGATTTTGGCTACGTGTTGTTGTTATCCCTTGTTTTGGATCATTGTAATCATAATTGGACCTGTCACTGAACTGGTTAGGGATCTAGTCCAGTCAAATCCGTTTTGAGTGTCAATCAAATCAATTGGACTAGATTTTCAAAAAATAAAGTAAAAATAGGGAGAATAGATTGAGAATATAAAATAAAATGTTGAAAAGGTACGTAAGCTTTGTTTAGCCAGTATAACCTGTCAAAATCTAGTTGGTCTGATCGGCCAGAACCAGTGAACAATAGTTTTAACCAGTTTTTTATCAAACTTTGTTTTTGCTTTGTACTAGACTAGACCAGCCAAGGTACCATTCGGCAGTCTGTCTTGTTGGATCGATTAGTCTGGTTCAATCTCGATAACAATAGGACTTCCTCAAAAAAATATCTCGATAACAATAGGTTGGATTACTGAAAACTATGGTGACCAAACGAGCCCTGTCAAAGAAATATATATGTTTCTCTTGCTTCGTAAGTGTAGGTATGGTACAAAGTCTCTCAAAGAAGAGTGGGATCCTACGTTGGTCCGTTACCGTCGGGTGCAATACCATAGATAGAACCACAGGGGCCATTACTGTCTGATGTATTGACAGATGGACAGGAGAAGAGTTGAGACCCTACATTGAAGGTCCCAACCCCCAAACCCCGCTCCCCCCCCCTCCTCTCTCTCTCTCTCTCCTCTCTCTCTCTCTCTCTCTCTCTCTCTTCTTCTTCTTCTTCTACTTACTTACTACGTACTACGTACGTTACGTACGTACGTACGTTACGTTACGT